TCCTTCCTTCCTTCCTTCCTTCCTTCCTTCCTTCCTTCCTTCCTTCTTGTTTTTCCATCTTTCCTTCTCCTTCTTTTGCCCAGACTTGTTGTGTAGACCAGGCTAGCCTGAGATCTGCCTGCCTCTGCCTCACCAGTGCTGGGATTAAAGGTGTGTGCCACCACACCTGGCTCTTTGTATGGTTTCTATTGGAAAGTCCAAAGAGGTGAGACTATAGTGTAGAATAACCAAGAAGACAAATGTATACTGTGGAGCCAGTGCTAGTGAGTTGGCACAGTCTGGACTCAGGCCTCACCTCTGTCCAGACCACATACCAGCTCTCTAGGCTCCTGTTTCTGTTGCTCCAAAGGTAGCTGTGACTTCCTACTCTATCACCCACATTGAGCTACCCTTAGCTCTTACCATAGCACAGTTATCAGTGCCTTCTTTTCCATGTTTTTTGTTAGCATATATTAATTAGACATAATAATAAGTTTCCTCATATGACATTTTCATACATTCATATAATATATTTTAATCATATTCACACACACACACACATACACGTTATCCTTTTTTGTCCTACTCCCAGCAATTCCTTTCCCCTTTCTCCTTCTACCTTTTTTGTTCTTTTGGTGACCTAGTAATTTCATCAGGGTTGCTTACTGGGGCATGGGCGAGAGGTTATTTATAAGTCATTAATAGCTACACCACTGAAGAAAAGTCTCTCCCTTCCCCAGGACCATTAGCTGCTTGTTGATCCTTAGGGAAGGATGAGAGCCCCCCCCCCCCTCCAGTGTCTTTTCTCAGGAGACCTGGACACTAGGAAAGTATTGTGGCTGCTCTTTGTATCTTTGTCTGAAATTTGTCCTCATTTGGAAACACTAGGCCTTGCTTATAGTCAGGGGGATCTGACTGTTCTCATACCATCTCTGACCCCATCTAGGTATGGGAGAGAAAAATCAAGTGGGGCTGGCATCCTGCACCAAGGAGTGAAATCCATGGAGGCAGGCATCACAGTTTAGGGTACAACAGGGAGGGATGGAAGAGGACAGAACCCTTCACTCTTTTTTAAAAAAGTTTATTTTTGTTTTATGTGTATGAATGTTTTGTCTGTATGTAAGTATACTGTGTGCATGCAATGCCCACAGAGGCCAGAAGAGGGCATCAGATCCCCTGGAACTGGAATTTTATGAACAGTTGTTAGCCTCTATGGTTTTGCTGGGCACCAAAGCTTGGTCCTTTGCAAAAGCAGTCAGTGTTCTCAACCACTGAGCCATCTCCAGCCTCCCCTTCTACTCTGTAAAGAAGAAATTGACTATGTGAAACAGGTCAGCAGTGGGACAGGTGATTGATTGGCTCACTGACTTCTGATGACTATTTCCTGTCTGGAGATCAAGATTGGCAGGGGAAGTAGCAGCCCCAGCTGAGTTTTGTTCTACAGAGGTTGCCTGCTTAATCACCTGGCTCCCAGATTCACAGTTGTGAGTGAGCAGGAACTGAGGGTTGCTTGGTCTACTTGTCCTTGGGAAGTTTAGCCCAAGCGTGTCCTAGACAGCTGTGCTCTAGAGCAGAAATGGTGGGTTCAAGAGCTCAGGATTTATACTGGCCTGGCCTCTCCCCAAGTGGAGAGCAGTACCCTCAAATGCTACAGAACCCAGTACCTGTAGATCAAGATGTTAATAGCTTACATGAACAAGTCACTCAAACCTCCCTTCAGAGTGTGGTTTCTTTTAGGAGACTGTCTCCACAGTTCAAAATCCAACTTCCAAACAAACTTTTGAAATGCTCCCTGTGTATACACAGGGAACTTCCTGTGTGATATTTCTGGGCATTACAGCCAGGCGCTCTGTCACCATCTGTCCCAGACTGTCTCCTGCAATAAAATCCAAATCAGGGTTGTCATAGGTTGCACTGTTTCTGCCCAAATCAGTCTCCAGGTGCAGCCAGTTGGGAGGACAGACCAGCGAAGCCAAGCAGGAGCCTTGGAACCTTCACTGCCATATGAGCTGCAGTGCATAGACTGCTTTGCTCAGTCTACCCATGAGGGCCGCTTAGAAGCCTCAGCTCTGGGCTTGGTAGGCTTCTTGAAGACTGACTACAGGGTCTTATTTTGGTTGTATTCTACCTTTTGCTTCCCTACACCTTGATACCCCCACATATAAACCTTGTCAGCCTGACTGAGTTTCAGGAAAGTCTATTTTGCTTCTATTGTGGTTTTCCAGTGTGACTCTGCAGCCATCACCTGCTTCCTCCCTGTCCAAGAAGAGGCAGATTTCCTACTACAAGAATTGGTGAGGATATGCATGTATGAAATTCTCAATAAAGTTTTTTTAAAAGCTAAAAAAAAGAATTGGTGCAGGTCTGGGTTTCTGGTGAAATCTGTCTTGCCTTCCTCAGGACAGTGGTTGGAGGCATCCCTTCTTTGTAGGTCAGCACCATCATCCCACTCTTTATTGGGTTGGTCTATCACCTGAGAGCAAGTATGGAAAGCTTGGGGGTGGGGTACTGAGATGAAACTCAGAACTTCTGTGTGTGGGATGGGCCCTTTTTCAGGAGGCGCCAACTGTGTGTGGACACCAGCTGTCAAGGGGCCTCAGCATTTCCTGGAGCTCTGAACTCAGCAGATGGCTTCCTAATCTTGTGAGACTGAGAAGACCCAGGGCTGGATGGTGTCAGTGTTTCTAGGAAGCAAAAGTGTCATTCTGGGTTGATGAAGGGAGTGCTGTGGGGCCACTGCTCTGGTTCCTTCCTCCCTTCTTAGAAGTCCTGACCGTCTGAGGTGGTGGTTTCAACTCCTGTTCTTCTTCAGCTTAACCCTGTAGATGACTCCTCAGGGTGTGTCTGAGGGTCTGTGTACACCCCAGCCTTCTCTCATTCAAGAAGGTACATTGGAATACATCTGGGTGGAGCTGACCATCAGGGAATCATCTTGAACCCGCTTCAGTTGATTTTCTCAAAGTAAAAGCAGATCGGTTACATATGTCAATACTTGATGACTGCTTACTAAGGATTGGTGGTGGCCCACCTCATGATTGATTGTACATCAGGGTAGAGAATAGGGGCCGAGGATAGCTCTTGGCTCAGGCCTGTGTTTCACCGGCATGCTGTGCCCTTGACTGGGGCAGGTGGAAATAGCATTCACAGAGGAAGAACCTGGAAATTCCTGCTTTTCACTCAGTAGAGCAGGTGCTTCAGCGAGGCACTTGTTTGATTACGTATTGGGGGGACATCTAGGTTGACACTTGCTTGGGGAGTTCAGCCAGCTGTCTGTCTCTTCCTTCCTTGGCTGGTTCGGTGTGTATGGGAGAGATCTGTCTGCCTGCCTGTTGCCTGGCAATTCTCGTGCTACCTTTGTGAGGTTCCATTGTGCTTGGGGTAGCCTTCCTGTGCTTGGTAGTACTCAGGGGAGCAGCAGCAGTAGATTATAGAGTTTGGAGAAAAACACTTGTGCACATTGACCTGGTACAATAGATTGGGCTAGAGCATGGAGTCTTCCAAAAGAGAAAGATTAGAAAAAGGACATGGGCTAGAATAGGCAGTGGTAGAACTGTACCCCAGTGGCCTGCCAGAAGGGTTCCTCCAGAGGGCCAGAGGACTGGTGCTATGGAAGTGGAGAATGGGGGTGGCTGCTGTCCTAGAGGAGCTGTCCTCATAGGAAATTATCTTTTAATTTTATTACATTTATGAGAGAGAGAGAGAGAGAGAGAGAGAGAGAGAGAGAGAATGAGAATGAGAAAGAATACATGCATGTGTGGAAGTCAGAGGACAACTTTCGGGAATCGGTTCTCTCCTTCCACCATGTAGGTCCCAATGATTGAACTCAGGTCCTCAGGTTTAGTGGCAGGAACATATACCCACCAAGCCATCATGCCAGCCCCATTGTGGAAATTTTTGCCTGCCTGCAGAGGGCATTTATTTGGCCTCAGCCTCCAAATCTATAAAACAGAAGCATGAGGCTCAGGAAGCATTATTCCCCCTGCCCCCAGCTGCTTTCTGCCACATGGCCCTATCTTTGGTCCCTTTGTGGCACTCTATACTCTCCTCATGACAGTGCAGAGCCTGCTCTTTCCTGGGCTCACTGTACTGGGGACTTCTGTGTAGCTTGGGTAGCTCCAGGCTCACAGTCTGCTGTGACTTCCTGCCAGGCATGGAGATGGTAGGGAGAGTACTGAAGCCCTGCAGCTCCTCTCTCTGCCTCTGTCCTTGCTGGGAAGTCAGTTGGAGGCTTCTGGGCTCAGCTGATGTTCTCTAAGGAGGACTTGGAATGAGCCCCAGGCATAGAGGGGTGAGGTCAGTGGTTTGCTTAGCAAGAAGGCCCAGAGTTAGTGAGGACCTGTCACAGCTCCCAGGATCTCTGGCTGCAGGCCCTGGCTGCAGCTCCTCCCCCTCCCGTCCACAGGGACTTGAAAATCAGTGATGCGGATTTGGATTTATTTACCGTGTGTCTCCTCTGTGGCAGAGTGGGAGGCCCACATTTATTTTATCCCCAGCCACCATGATGACTTTCTCATGCTTTTTCATCCATTCCTGACCATGTGCTCTCTGAGATGTCTGAGTAAACTGAAGCTCACAACAGTTTAGTAAATTCTCCCCAGGCTGGTAAGCAGTGCATTTGAAGTCATCAGCCTTTCTATTGGGAAGCCCGTTCTTTCCATTCTCCTATACTGCCATGGGGGAGGGATACTAGAAGGTTATACAAAGAGGTATGTAACTATCCCAGCCCTCAGCTTCACCAGAGCAGCTGTGCTAGATAGCTTTAGTGTCAACTTGACATACCTGGGTTGAAGGAACCTCAATTGGGGGAATTTCCTTCATTGGACTGGCCTGTGGCCATGTCCATGAGGCATCTTCTTGATTGTTGAGTGATGTGGGAGGGCCCAGCCCCACTGTGGGTGGTGCCACCCCTGGGCAGGTGGGCCTGTGTTGCATAAGAAAGCAGGCTGATCAGGGGCCAGGGGAGCAAGCCAGTAAGCAGCGTTCCTCCATGGCCTGTGCTCCAGCTCCTGCTTCCAGGTTCCTGCCCTGAGTTCCTACCTTGGGCTCCCTGATAAATTGTGACCTGGGAGATGTAAGACAAATAAACCCTTTCCTCCCCAAGTTGGTAGTGGTCAGAGTGTTTCGTTACAGCAATGGAGAAACAAACTAAGACAGTAGCCAAATCTGTGGTATGGACAGGGTGGCTTTATGTGTGCATAGTAGGGGCTTTGTGGTGCTTTGTAAAACTGTCTACTGAAGTCCCAAAGTACACATACAAAGGGGACTTTTGGAAATCACTATCTCACACTCTCTCTTGCATTTTTTCATTACCTCTATAATGTAGCCTTGGTTGTTTTGATTTAAAGCAGTAATTAAAATCTCTTGTTCCTGTGTAAATTTGGTCCTCAGAAGATATTCTGGGTTTATCCTGAGGTTTCCTAGGCCACTGGCCTCCCTTTGTCTTCTAGAGGTATGAGCATCTAGGTAACAAATGGAAGAGACAATGGTGGGGGCACATTTGGAATTGAGGGTAGAGGCACACAGCTGGGGAGAGGAAAGGGGAACTCAGTTTGGCTGGAGACAGGCTGCAGTCAGGGGCCCAAGAAGGGAGTGAAGGTTGGTTTGGGGTTGTGTTGTGAGGGGTTCTGCCTGTATCCTCAAGGGCCTGAGTTCAGATCCTAGCACACACGTTTCATGTATCCCTCAAAGGCCTGTAACTCTAGCTCCAAGAGATCTGGCCTCTGCATGTTCATAGGTGCCTGCACACACACCTTGGTTATACACTCACACAGACACAAACATATGCATGCATAAATAATAAATAATAAATAAGATAAAACTTGGGTTGGTGAGATGACTTAGCAAGTAAAGGTGCTTGCAGCTAAGCCTGGTGACCGGAATTCAATCCCCGGGACACATAGAGTAGAAAGAAAGAACTGACTCTCGCAAGTTCTGTCCTCTTCCAAACACATGTGCATGTTCACACACAGTAAACAATACGTAATACATTTTTTTAAAATTAAAAATAAAATAAGCCAGGCATGGTAGTGCATGCCTGTAATCCCACCTACTGAAGAGGCTGAGACAGGCAGATGGAATGTTGAAGCCAGCTTGAGCAATATAATAAAACTTTTGTTTCAAAACAAAAACCGAAACAAACACATACACAGGAGGATTGTGCATAGGTTCTATGGGATATTATGCCATTTTATATTAGGAACTGTGCATCTGAGGAATTGGTGTTTGGGGACTCTGCTCCTTTCTCTACATGTATCCATCCTGGGAGAAGCCTGTGACAATCGATGTTCATACTGTGGGGATCCCAGAGTTGGGGAGGGGCTCCTACCTGGAGAGCCTGTAGTCCTGTAGGAGAGGTGGGAATAAAGTGTGGGACCCACAGTACAAAGGTGGGATTTTAGCTGAGTATGGTGGCGCAGGCCTGGTACTGTAGCACTCAGGAGCCTGTAGCCCCACGATCAGAAGCTCAAGGCCAGTCTGGACTGCATAAGGAGACATTGCCTCAGAACAGAAAAACAAAATCTGGAGTGTGGTGGGGTAAGTGACACTGATAGGGGTCTCAAGAAGTTCAAACCATGGTGTCTACCAGAAGAGGCCTGGTTAGGAGACCCTGGGGTAGCAGTGGATGAGTCTGAGAAGAGATTGAGCTTGGTTTCTGATGTCCACCTAATTTGTTGGTACAGGTGATAAAAGAAAGGGTGACGTGTGACATGGAGAGGTCCAGTGAAGGAGGAGTTGATGCCACCTGGAGACCAATTCTTTTTGGGAACTAGAGGAGGGTAGCCAGGCAAGCAAAGACAGCTGCCTGAGGAAGGAGGAAGCCCTGGCATGTTCCTCTAGTTGTCTTGGGTCTGTGCTTGTTAGTTGGAATTTGACTAGCAAAGAGTGGGGTAGCTGGTGCCTTGAAATCCATAAACACTGTGAAAAGATTACAGCTCATCCCAGAAACAGACAGACTTTTGAACTTTTTGTTCAGGTCTCTGTGGGGCCAGAGATGACTCACTGCTGAGCCCATCCTAACCTCTGTTGGTGATTAGCAAGGGGAGAGGCCTGAGGAGCCGCCCTGCTCTGCAGCAGACTCAGTTGTCTGGAAGAGCCCAGACTGCAGGAAGGGATTGGAGTGGCCTTGGAACAGACTGAGGACATTTCCAGCACAGGAATCTCCTGGGTTTGAGGCAGCCTGTCTTTTTATATGTGAATTTGTGTTTTACCCATTGAAGGAACTGTGGGATGGGCCTGGAGTGAGGCCTTCAACTTGACCTTAAAAGGTTCATAGTCTCTTGGTGAACTTGAAGAG